TACTTGGGCAAAAAAAGAGAAATCCCTGCACCTCTCCCCACCCTAGCAAAGAGAGACTGTTTTAGATTTTCCATGAAAGTTGTCTGTAGGAATTTAACAGGTAACATGCTGGATGTGGTTTCATGACAGTACATAACTGTTTTGCAAATATCTGAAAACAACACAGAAAACTACACTGGTGTGTAAATACTAGTATTGGGGACAATCAGTCTTTATCCCACAAGCACTAACTGTATATTCCCAACTGGTGTAAATTCAGTTCTGTGTAATACCCCTAGACAGCTGTGTGCTGGTATAATGAAAAACCAGTTGCCAATATTACTCCACTAATCCATTTTCTTTTACCTCTAAATTTCAAGTTTTGTGTTTTCTTCTTTTTTTAATAAGTTATACTGCTCTCCAGAAAATAGAGCTTAAATTAAAAATGTATTGAACTCCAGATATTAAGGTCTCTACTAGGCATGTCTATTAATCTGCTTTTTAAACAAAATATTATCAGAGAGAAACTGATAGTTTTTTGAGTTGAGAACTACTTTAATTGGTGGAGGGTACACTTCTATACATATGTTCTCAGCAGCTTTGAATTGAGTTGGTTTGTATAGAACATGCTAGACCACATCTCTCCTGAAAGCAACTGCAAGCAGCAGTCAGCATGTGACACAATGTACTGCGTATAGTTTGTGAGCACAAAACCCTGTATCTACAATCACATTTAAGGTCATCTAGACTGAGAGCTGTGTCTCTCTATAAGACAGTATCTGTATTTACTGACCAAACCTGTAGCAACTGCTGTAGTTTATGCAGAATTAATCATGTGTCTGTTCCTAAGTTTATCTCAAACTATGGGCACTGGAGAGGAGGAGTGGGTACTTGCAGGCCAAGAATTAAGGAACAGAATCTTGTTTTGTCATTACAAGAACCCTTTCTCTGCTCAGAGCGTGCAAAAACAAGCTCCTAAATAAAGTGGCTGAGACGTTAACAGCAGAGTACAGATGATACCAGGTTCTTAAGCCAAACAGGCTCAAGATGGACTGCTGTTGAGCCTAAAAGCTGGCATTATCAGTGTAGACAACTGGAAAGTTTATGCCTGAGAAGGGACCTTTTTGCTGATGCTGTCAATATAGATCTTGCCCGAGAGGACCAGCAGAATTTTGTATTGAAATGAAATTTCTAGAATTTGAAAGGCTAGAATAATGAAATATTTTCCACTTTCTACCCTTGCATACCATCTTCCATAGGATATAGAAAAGCAGCTTTGCTAAAGCTTGTCTCCTTTATGTGCATTGCAACATAAAGAGCACTGAAAGGATCCACAAACAGACGGCATGGTATGAAGTAGTCAGCCTTCATTTGCACTGTTCATTCATGACTCTAACTATGTAGCTATGCCAAACATAATACGGTATTCCCTTTCATGAAAGATTGTTTATGATCATTTCTGTTCTGCACTGAAAAATCCAGTATCTAATTAGAGAATTATCTGAGCAGATTTTTCCATAAAACTGTTCTTGTTTTTTAAACATTCAGTACTACTTTTACTTAGCAGGTGTGTAAGATCAAGGCTCTGTTATTCCAAACACTATGTGAATACAGAGCTTAAATAAATTATGGTCTGTATGAAATAATTTGCAAATGAAATTGTGGAATTCTGAAGCAGATCTTCTGTCTGCTCCTTGGGCATACTAGGTTTATTTTCTAAAATCATGGAGTGTTCCTAAAGTATAATCATACTTGATGCAAATCTTCCCTTTCCTGTGGACTGCTAAGATTACTGACTTCGAGACATTTCTTGTACCAGCCAATAGTTTTGGAAAAGTATCTCTAACTTTTCAGTGAGTAGTAGCAAAAAGGAAAAGCAGGGTACAGATTTTGTAAAGCTCATTTAAAGCACATTTTTTCAAGTATTTCATACACCTGAAGGTGTTAGAAATTAAGTAGAGACTGTATCTGAAATGTTAGAATAAACACTAATAGAGATGGGTAAATGGGAAGAGTACCTGTTATCGACTAACAGGGAGATCAATCTACATAATTGCATCAGCTCGTTTGAGTACTGAAGTTTCTTTTTTGTTTTACGCTTGTCTTCTTGATTGAGCTAGAATTCTGCATTTACATTAGTAGGAGTGCAGTCAGTTAACCAAGGAGAGTGACTATTCCCGTAATAGCATTTATTATACCACATTTAAATACTATGAGCAGTTCTCGACCCCTCAGTACTTGAGTAAAGTTGAGCAAGGGTCACCAAGTTGCTCGCACAAGACTTTTAAAAAGAGGCTGGGGGAGCTGGGATTTTTAGCATCAGGCAGGAGGAGTTTTCCAATTCTGAGAAGAGGAGTTGATCAAAAAAATATGGAGTTGGGCTCTTTCAAAAGCTGTGTAGTGCTTTATACTTCGAAACAAGGGAGGGTTGAGAATGGCCTAAATGCTGGACCTAATTATCCTAATCATTATTAGGATAATTAAACACAGGAACACATTGCCCAGAGCAGTTGTAGAATTTTTGTCTTTGGAGGTTTTTGAGACCTGACTGGACAACCTCCTGTTCTGAATTAAGGGTTGCTATTATCCTGAGCAGGATGCTGGATTATATGACCTCCTGAGCAAACCTGAAATTAATCTATTAATCTTTGATTTACAAATATCTATTTCAATGGATTAAACAGCATACAACTTGTACACATTTGTAGTACATACAATAAATAATTTAAGGATCTGTAGCTTAAAATTCTTACATTAGACAATTTAATGTTGGACATTAAAATGAGGCGGGACAATATTTATCTGTAATAGGCCAGTTTCATTTTCCTTCCTTCCTTTTCTCTTATTTATTTTTAGGCATTTTTAAACATTTGTATGTAGCCGTAAAAAAAGAAAAGTCATTTTAGAGCCTACATTTTGGAGTGAAGAGTAAAAAGTAGAATATTATAAAACTATGCAATATGAGTCTCTTCTAGACTAAGTCTAGGATTCAAATGGCAGTGGGTTTTTTTCCTAAAGCTAGCTCCTGTGTCAGGATGTTTATTCCTTTTATTGCAAATATGGACCACTTTTTGCTCTTCATAACAATATCAAAATAATTAAACAAGATAAGATATCAGAACAAAAAGGTGAAGATATCAATTTAATTTTTAGATTGTTCAGTAAAATTGCAACAACTAAAAATAATATTTACAGTTTTATATTTATTTTAAATCTCTAAAATATGTTTGCTTTATCTAGTAAACATTGTCCTTACAAAACCAAGGTATTTTCTAATTTCATCTTTAAATATCTTTGGGTGAAAGAATATAAAAATCTGCTTCAGTTTCATTGAGTGCTTGGTTTCCAGGTTTTGTTTGATAGATGACAAAATGATGTGAAATATACTTATCTTTGGATGAGACAGTAAACTTCTGATCTAGTTTTACTACAAAGTAATAGAAGATTTCAGGTCATAATGTTTAATTAGAATCAAATCAACTTTTTTGAACAGCATGTCAGTATTAGTTTGGAGAACCAAAGGACAATTTCTTTCTCAAGTACAGACTTTTAAGACGAAAGGTGTTTTAAAATTACATTAAAAGCGTAAAAGTGGAACATTCGATTTTCTGAATTTTAATGTGTTTGAAATATTATTATGAAGAAAATTGCATTTTCTGAAGTGACAGAAGCATTATTCAGATGGCTTTGATTATTTGATAGTTTAAAAAAAGGTTCTTTTGTAAAGGATGTTTATCCTAGGGTTTCTAACAGAGTGGCTTTAATGATTTGAGAAATTAGGAAAACACATTAATATTGATTTAGTAATTTAACTCTGTAATATTAATAGTTATTGTGCTGGTTACATTCTACCGTGTTGCAGTAATTTTCATTTTTTTGCTCAAATATATTATGCATATGCATTAACCCATTTTCAATACCAAACATTTAAAGACAAGATTTAAGCATAAAAGTCCCTATCGAGTGTGTCTCCAAGGCCAGCCATGATGATTAAATCTCTTAATTGATTAGAATAATCCTGCACATTGGAATTAAATTTTAAAACTGTACAAAAATATAATGAGGAAGAGAAAGAACTGCAAATCTTTGTTTCTTAATGAAATTGTAACAAAGGATAATTTACCTAGACATGTTTGCTTGCTTCAGCTATACTTGATAAAATAATATTTAGATAAGAACACATCATAATGCACAGCAATGTTGAAGTCACAAGATAAAATAGATTGATTATATATAATCTACTTGTAATCTACTGCCAGACACAGGCATCATTCTACTGTCTTTGTTCTACCTGTTTTTGCAGTAATTAATTTCACTGCCTTTCTCTTTCTTTTTCTTTTTTTTTTTCTTTTCTCAGAGCCTGGCCCTGCAAGGTGCTTGTGAGTGTCCCCAGCTTCTTTTGGAAAGCCTTTCCAGGGATGCTACTGTGCACCTCACAGGACAGGATGCAATTCTTTTAATTTGCTATAATATTTATTTCTATGAATTATAGAGTTTAGTCCCCTCAGTTGGTGATTAATGATGCCACTTTTACCACCAACTATTTATTTACTGTTACATTCATTATTTGTAATTTTGCTAAGAGAATACTTTTGCCTGAATGCATTTTTTTTCTGGTTAATTATTGTGGTTTAATACATATTACGTTTCTTTCAAGATGTAAAATACTGACACAATGGTTCTAAAGACCTGTTCCTAAAAGGCACCAAATGCCCACAATTCCGTTGATGCTAATAGAAGAATAAGTACTTTAATGTTTATAGGTGGCATGCAGAACCTTTCAGAGCCAGTCCATATACAACTTGATTATTCTCAGCAATAGTTAAGAATGTGACTCTTCAATACAGTTTTATCTTTTAATATTGCTGTTAAGTATAATGCAGTCATACTGTAAAATAGTTCCAGTCACTATTTTCTTTATAACCTTTCTTGTTTTTCTTCTTCTTTTGCAGCAGTTTTGATGGATAGACTTTCTGCTGGCTGCATTTTAAATCTGTTTTTTTTTCTGTCAATTACCACAGGTTTAGTCCCTATGAGTGGTATAATCCACACCCTTGCAACCCTGACTCAGATGTGGTGGAAAACAATTTTACCTTGCTAAATAGTTTCTGGTTTGGAGTTGGAGCTCTCATGCAGCAAGGTATACGATTCAGTCTGCTGTTTCTCTTGAGTGCCATGTCCCACTTTTTGCTGGGGGTAACAGCTCTGTGGCACAAGTCACTTGCATGGGTGCCTCTGTGCATGTAACCATAAACCAGCTTTTTTATATTTACTTTTCCAGGCTTTCTCAAACTCCACCTTAGGAAAAAGTCTGAAGACAGACAAAATTTTTAAAACTTAAAGGTACAGCGTAACTATGTAATTTCTTTCCTAAAGAGAATCAGGTGCAGTACTGCATAAGCAAATGAGCTAATCTGTCTATTACCTAACAAACCTTCATTTAAACAACCTAAAAAAGAGTATATACTTGCCAAGCAAAAGTATTATGTAAATGTCTCTCATTTGTTAATTTTTGATCTAGAAATCTTTCAGTAGCAGACATATTTTATCCAGTAGTTGGTACCTGTAAAATAAAATGGTAAATATAGGAGATTTAAGTCTTTCCATCCATATTTTATATTGTTTAAAAACAGAATGACTATTCTTAGAGATTTAATAAAGTCTATATTATACAATGCATGCACTGAGAAGCTGATGCCATTGTTGCTAATATAAATGGAAGCTGTATAGTTATGTTGCTCAGAGTATAACCAACAACCAGTTTTAACTAGCACTTAGTAAAATGCTTAAGCTACGTTCCTTAAAATCTATAATTTTCTTTACTATGCTCCTTTTATTTTTAAAGCATACCAAACATATAGATCCATAAAATTATGCCACCATTTTATTACCCTTTTCCATAAGGATTTGGTTAGAGTCACATAATTTCAGACACATTTGAATAACACAGATTCAGCTTTTTGTTCTGACATTTCACTGGGCTGTATAGTATAATAAGAAAGGTTGTTAGTTCTTTGAAGAACCACCAAAAGGAATGACTTTTCTTTCTGGAAAAATAACCAATGCATATCAGAAAAAAAATCACAGAAAATGTTGCAGGAGCTAGTGCATGTTGGTATAGTATTTTGATGGGATATACCTGAGCAATTGTTTTTAAAACTTCCCATTATAAACTCAGCAGCTATAAATAAATCCTGCTTTTAAGTCATCAAAATAAATCATGAAGCTCTGTTGTAATTGTAATAAATGTTCTGTCACATATCAGGTCTGTAGACTTAAAAAGTCTCTAAGCTCTCCGTGAAAAGTGTGGTATACTCCAAAAAATGTCAATTAATGGGTAAAAAGGAATCAAGATTCCAAATCAGAAATAAAAATACAGCTATATGTTGCTAAGTGTTTAGTATCAACTAGATTACCCATATACATTTCAAGAAATTATATAGTCCAAGGACAACCCTAAATACTTTTGTAAGATAATGGTTGCTTTCAAAGTAGCTACCGAAATATGGATACTGAATTAAGCAAATTATTTTGAATTCCCTTCGCAGTTCTCAGAATTGTCAGAATCACTATGCATGCTGGCTTTTATTCCTTATGTGGCTGCATGCTTCTTCATATTTCTGGAGGAGGGAAAAAACCAATTTTTTTTTTTGCATCATCTTTTTGCAAGAAAAAGGTATTTTAGTACCTAACATCTAAACATTTATTGATAATCAAAATTGGAAAAAAAATCATTAATTTTAAAAGGCATCTTTGGGGGATAATAATTTTCAGAGAAGGAAAACTTATTTTTCAGAATTAAGGCTGAGCCTCTGTCCTTGCCTTATATCATTTTGCTTTTGACTCAATGCATATTTAAAAAAAATGGCAAAGGCATTATTCTAAGGATGAAGTATCAGTCTTGATTTTGATAATTGCTTTTAATAAAAATTTCTCAAGAGCCTGGAGTCATCTAAAAGTAGGCTTTTACACAAGCATGGAAGGTCTCACCTAACAGCAATAACTTTCTATTAGAAACAATATAATAGCGCTTGGTCCATACATGAACTTATTAAGTACTGCTTCTTTAACAAAACATTTGCTTAGTGCTGGAGGATACATGACAGAGGGAACTCATGCATGTCTTGCTGACACCCCTCGCTCCCAGGAAACTGTGGGATATAGTGCTGGACATGACGTTACCTTGGGTACATGACAGTCAGCCCCTAACCAGGCTCTGTTGCACGGGCCTAGGTGGCACTCGGTTTCAGTCCTTGGTAAGGTATGAACTTGTGGTAATTGGGGCAACTGCGGCAAATGTTTCCACTGTTTTCTTCCCACTCCTATCTGACTTTATTGGTGTTGCTTTTTAAATGAAATGAGAGCAATTAAAAAGAGTTGATGACGGTGGGCTTGTTGGGAAATCTGTCAGTGTTATGGTGTCTAAGTGTCTGACTAACAGGGCCTAGGAGCAACTACATCAGAAAGGTACTTTTCTACTTTTTTCCTTGCAGAATTCTAGGCAGAGTCTGGCGCTGGAGTTGGCTGTCATGTCCAAGTCTGTCAGCTTTTTTTGTTTGAAACAGCAAGGGTAAGATGAACTGCAGGGTAAGATGGGCTGTTTTTGAATACAATAGTCCAGTTCTGATATCACTTCTTTTTTCCTTTTCTTTGGCTTTCTTTCCGTCCCCTCCCCTCCCTCTTTTTTTGGCATTAGCGTTTGAAGTTTGGCATAATCTTTCATTTATACGAAGATGTGTTACCTTGCTGGACCAGTTCCTTAAATAATTCAATATAAACCCTAAAATTTAACAGGAATAAAATAGTCCATCTTGCCTTCATTCCATTTTACCCAGGGGATTTCAAAGCACGCATAGTGAACAACCAACAAGAAGTGATTGTTTTGGTACAATGGTATAGTGGATGTAATAAAACTGTTTCTTTGAAAATAAGTTTCTGGATACTTCTAAAAGATCTCACATAAAGTTGTGACAATGAAGCTTGAAATTGTTTATTTGATGTCATTATAAATTTCATTCCATTTAATTATAACTTTATGGAAAAAAATCCATACATGCTCATTTATAATAAATATTTGGGGTTTTAAATTACGTTGAATTTCATTTTCTCCTATTTTTATAATTAGGCACAAGGGGAGTTTATGTGCTTCAATTTGTCTCATTAAACTTTAACTTAGCATTAATAATTATGCAAATTACTGTACAATGTCTGTCCCCCCCTCCATTCTTTAGTGCCATGAGCAGGCAACTCCAGCAATACATTATAATGTATCTTTATCTGGTTTATGCACAGCAGTCTAATATTTTCATTGCTGCTCTACCAAATTAAGTGTGGCTTAGCCACCCATGTTTATCTGAAATTGTGGGGCTAACTATAGAGATGGGAGATATTAACTTTTTTATGTAAGCAGTCCACAAACAACTGTTTACAGTAATGCAAATGGCAAAAGTCAAAAGCATATTTATAATAGATTTCAGATTTTGTATTTCAGGTATTAAATACTTTATTTCATATCTGCTCCTTTCATTTATAGCTTATTGTTATCTAGTCAAATGAGTTTTTACAATATCCTTAAGTAATATTTATTTAGTGCCTTGAAGGTGAAGAACTACTTAAATGCTTCAATATTAATTTAAAGGCTTAGTCCAGCCAGGATTATTTTCTGGAAAGACATTTCAATTAACTGCTTTTTTCACATTGATATATATATATATATATATATATATGTTTTTATAAATTTTAAGAAGACACTGATCATTGAGTCTCCCATTACTATCTTTTGATTCCCACAGCCTGAAAAAGATCTGTCTTTATAAGTGTAATCGGTTCATATTTCTTGTTTCAGTTGTGTGTGTTTGTACAAGCAGTTCATGTAAGCCTGTAGTTTAAACTTTTTTTTGCACAGTGATTCCATCTCACCACTGTGGCAAAAGTGCTGAACACTTATTATTTGTTTCCTGTGCACTGGTTTCACCTTTCTCCCCTGGTTTTCATTAGGTTCTGAGCTCATGCCCAAAGCCCTTTCCACAAGGATAGTGGGAGGCATTTGGTGGTTTTTCACACTTATCATCATTTCCTCGTACACTGCTAACCTAGCCGCCTTTCTGACAGTGGAACGTATGGAATCCCCTATTGATTCTGCTGATGATTTAGCCAAGCAGACAAAGATAGAGTATGGGGCAGTTGAAGATGGAGCAACCATGACTTTCTTCAAGGTAAGCTTTATATTCTGTTTGAAAAGATGCTATATCCCGATTGTGGAGGGAAAGTTTGTGCATTTTGCTGAGAAGCAACATATATGATTCCCACTGACGTCAAAAGCAACTGAAAATCAATTTTTTCGAGGATTTGCAAGATAGCAAAGGAAGGGAAATGCAAAATCTTTTGTGGGAAATAAAAAGTAATTTCTCTGATGATTTTTGCTTAGAGTTGAATTTATAGCAGTGTACTAGGTTGAAGAAACCTGAACACTTTGCTCAGACAGAGGTCTTATAGCCGTGTACAAGAATGAGTTTTGTCAGATTGAGTTACAGTATCAGTTCAAAGGCATTATACTTAATCGTAGTCTGTGTGCAAGCAACCGGACTAGACTAAGAATATTATTGGCTGGACTGAGAAAAAAAGATACGGCACTTCAGGACATGGTTTAACAGGCACGGTGGTTTCGGTTGATGGTTGGAGTTGATGATCTTCGAGGTCTTTTCCAACCTTAATGATTCTATGATTCTAGGAGTATTTTTGAGAAACTTTTGAATGGAATTTGGGGTTGATATAAAAAGCTAAGATTCTTCCAGTTTTTTATTCCTTCTAACCTGTTACTAAGGTAATCTGGTTTGAAATACAGTGAGAGATGCTGCTGGATTAGAGAGATATCTTTCTTTTCTAGTTTCATCAAGCATTTAAATGGGTTTAAATTAGTGAGAAGTATGCCTGAAGGGACAGAGGTTGGTTTGTTCTACAACTCTTTGTTCTTGATAGCACAGAGGTGTCTCGGATGTTCCAAAGAGAGAGATATTTAACAATATGTGGCTGATCTTTGGTACATTTTGAAGACTTTTGGCTGGTATATTTCATTTTAATGAGTTATTATGCTGTCACCTGAAGCTTTGCGGTGTCTTTTACATTGGCATTTGAAACTAGAAAAAAATAACTTGTAATCTCATGCAGAAATTGAAGAATGTGTGCTTAGTTCCTCTTACAAGATTCAGAGAGTACAAAATTTCTTTAGATACCAAGGCTAAATAGTCACTATTTAGTCTTATGACCTTAAAGCCAATCAAAATGTACACATAGTTTTAATTTCTAAAAATAATTATAGGGCTTTCAGCTTCTGCTTGGCAATAAAAGTCAATTCAACTTCAGTATCATGGAATGTTTTAGGCTGCTTAACTTGTAGCATACATTGGGAAGGTTCTGAGTATTTTCACCAGAATGCTGGTTGGAAAAAGAGCTGATGAAGTGAATAGAAGTAACTAACTAGAGGTCTTTTGATACCAGGAAATGTATGAAGCACTTAAAAGAAACAACATTGAAAGTTTAAAGGCTGAGTTTTTTAAAACACTCAATATTATTTCAGTCTCAGGACATAAAGTAGTGACACAAGGTATTTATTAAGTTACCGGAAAACAGTACAGGGCTTTAATTTCATTTCTGTCCGGCAGAAAACTTTGAAATTGTTCTAATTCAGATTCAAACTGTGGACTCTAAAACATTAGGAAGTAAGTTTAAATTAGCAGTGTCTTTCATTCTGGTTACCAGAAGCACTTTTCTCTGCTTTTTCTTAACTTTTAGTTTTCCTGCTCCTCGCCCTTAATTTTCTCTCTTATTTACTCTTTTTCCTTTTTTGTATGCACACATTCTATGGGCTTTTTAAGCACACAGAGAACATTTCTCTTTCTCTGGATGGTTTTCCCCTCTGCATATTAATATACTATACCCTTTTCTGCACAATTCTTTCTTTCTGCTCTCTTTCTTCTTCTGTTTCTATTTATTTAGATAAGTTTTTTGTTTATCTAGTATATTGTATCCAAGAACTAGAGAGGACTTACTTCTAATGAAGTAGCAATTGCAGATCCTGCATAGAATTTTTGTTTGCAGATGAAATGACCTGACCTAGACCCATACACAATAGAGTTATGGTGTCAGATCACATAATTTGGTATTGCTTTTAGTACATTAATGAATTCTCCTTCTGCACTATGAATGATAAAGAGAAAATGGAAAAAACCAGAAGATTTTGTAGTTCAGCTGATACATTTTAGGTCAAATTAAGGTTTATTCTGTCAAACAAACATATTTTGTGGGCTTTATGCATGAACAGATCATGATTGGTGTTTTGTGACATGAAAAGGCACTGACAGTTAAGAACTGTTCCCGCTTGCAACCAAACGATTCCAAATATTTTCCTGATGTTTACCATCTTATCTAGTAGTACGTAAATTATTTGGTATTATTTACCTAATGAAATGGATCCAAATTTAAACATTAGAGGTAGCTACAACTTGTAGTTCACCCAATAAATCAAAATCATGCTCAGAAAGAAAAGTAAATACATATACAATCTGACTTGATTCATTCAATGTCTGAAGAAACGTCCAGGTGGAAAGTATGCTTGATGTAAATGCTATTCTCTAGAGCTACCTGTATATGGACTACAATCTAACTAAATATATATTATATATATATTACATATGTATTCCATGAAAGATAAACCGCGACATTTGTATACAGTCCATCTGTTACAGTAAACTTTCTGGTAAAATTAGGTATTTTTACCTAATGAGGTTGAATTATCAGAAAAAAAGAATACTATTTCTGGTCAACATAGTATATCTGTATTTGTGTGTTTTCAACATATACTTCTATTTTGTACAAGCAAATTTCTTCAGGAATGTAGATTCCCTACATGCAGAAAATGAAAATACTAGAATATATGTTGAAATAAGACTGTAAGTGAAATTGCTTTAAAAGATATTACTAGAGATGAACAGCTCACAGATACTACTATAAATAATAATACAGAAAGCACTTATGTACAGAAAACTGATAAAGGAAGACAGAAACTATCAGAAAAACATCTTAAGTGATAGAAGTGACACCGAGAGTAGGAAAAGTATAGGCAGTACAGAAAAGACAGAAGAGCTCCATACATTTTCTACATTGTGTGTAAGAAAGCAGGATAAATATTCACACTTTATATTCCTTTCAGAATACTTTCTGTTTTATGAGTAAGTTAAAGGAGGGTTTTAAATGGTATGTATTACTTTCTATGGTACATAGATATGTGAATATAAAGCAGGAAGTAATACTGACTTTTTATATGGCATTAGGGAAACTGTTAATGAACTATTTTGTCCTGTTCTGGTGACCACACTTTGAAACTATGTTTAAAATTGGAAAGAGTTCACTAAAGGTGAAAGAATGACTGTGGGTCTGGAAACAAGTGTTGTAGTTAGAGGCTAAGGAAGACCTGTCTGTTTAATATGCTGAAGAAAAGGTTAAGAGGTGACATGGTCTGTAAGTGCCTTAATAGTAATGAGACTTTTGATGGTAGACTTCAGTCTAGCAGAAAAAGCATAATGAGGCCCAAGGATTCAAAGCTGAAGTTAGGCAAATTCAGACTAGAAATAAGGTCCATATTTTTAAGAGTGAGAGCAATTAACCACTGGTACAACTTATCTAGGAATGGACTGGGTTCATATCACATGCAACCATTGTGAGGTAAATAGATACAGCGTAGCCCAGATGCATTATGCTTATGATTTAGAGATTACTCAATGAAATAGATAGCCCTCATTATACAGGAGCTCAGATTAGATTTTAGTAGTCCCCTTCTACTTCAAAAATCTATGTGAGTATGACTTCTGGGGGGTTTTACAAAAATGGTTGAGAGAATGAATTTATCATTTGTGGGTATGTTTTTCCTTAGCTGCTTTGTCTTGTTTTAATGAGAGTGGATTGAGTAAAAGAATTGCAACAAGAAATGAAGGCATCAGATGACTTACTGATGTTAAATGAAAATATCATATCTTGGTAACAGTTACTAGTTGTAATCGCAGTTAGGCTTGGTAGCTGCCCATGAGACTGGCAGTAATTTCTGCATGAATTATCTACATAGCAGTGCATTGAATTCTTTGTCAAAAAAATTTTGGAAACTAGCCAAAGCTGTGCGGTGCTGAAACAAAAGAAGAGTGTTTTTTGAAGGAGAACCTAAATAGGAATCAGACAAACTAACTGCTCAATTAAAACTGCTAAAGTAAAAATCTCAGAGAGCAGGTGATATACATTGAAAATGCTGTTACTCTTGTGAGTCAAACATCCCCTTGAAATAGCTTCCATAAAAAAGGAGAATGTTGTCTGCAGAGTTTTATTAGGTACTCTAAATTGTCGTATGCCTCCTCATGGTCTGAGATATATGACATTACAACTCCTTCTACAAGCCATAAAGCGGAGGAAATTTTTGATGGTGTCTCCTCTTAAGATCTACTTATCTAGTCTGAGCATGGAAAGGAAGAAGTTTTACAAGTCTGTTATAAATCTGGTGGGTCTAGGAGGCCGTTTAATTTGGAACAACAAAGAAAAACTCAGTATTTTCCAAGAATTAGAAGGAAAGAAACATGAAAGTAAATTCTTGTAGAGGAATGGGCCAAAAGCAGATTGCTGTGATAAACAGAAGATAAAAATGCTGAAGTAAACAGGACTTGTGGATGTGCTGAAGGAGCTGAGTACATGTTAAGGAGCTAAAAAACAGCGGTTCTGTACTATCAGCCAGCGCATGGACAGCGCATAATCAGCAACATCATTGGCTGACCTGGCATGTGGTACGGCTACGGATTGATAGAATAGAGAACCTTGTAAAAATAGCTGCCGTATCAGGATAGAAGGTTCCCAGGGAACTAACGTCTGGGTAATGATGTATAAAGCACTGCTTGGAAAATAAACTTTGTCTCGCTTGCACCACAAGCTGAGTCCGTGCCATCATATACCACAAATTCTAAGCCATATCTGCTTACAACCTGGTTGTTTCCACTCCTGATGTGTGTTTTGGTGTTTCTCAAATTGTGGGCTTTTTTTTAGTTATAAATTTCTCTTACTTTGTCTTGGCTGCTTTTGTCACTATTGAAACTATTTAAGTTTCAGAAGCCTGTCTTCCTTCCTGCTTGGAATAAAATAAAAAGCCTTTATTATTTTTATGAAAGGTGCGTATCTCACCCTG